TAGTAAGGATGGCCAGTATAAAATGATGGAAAGGACTTAATTTTGCCAGCCCCAAGTTTTCTTTTTATGTGTATATTCAAAATTAAGACAAAATGACTGGACATGAGTACAGTACAGTAGGTCTATTTCATCTCTTTAGAGGGTTCCTACAGTACATCTGTACATCTTATAGTGGCTGGCTTTGCTTCTTAGGATTTTACAGTGTGAACATGCCAGTCATTTCTAGGCCACTCAGACAGGGTCTGGGCACCTCCCATCAGGCTATTTAGACCATCGTTGGATAAGAAGTGCCAACCTAGATGGCACTGGAGGGGGCAAGAAAAGATTTTGCTTGGAAAAAAGTTGGTAATTCTAACCTGCCTGGTCCTTTGTAAATCCTGTCATTGGTAATGGCCAATTTACAGGGCCACTTTGGGCGAGACTCCTTTACTGGTTGTCCAGATCTTTGTGGCCTTACCTTTAACACTTGTATCCACACAATGTTCTCATCAACTGAAATCATTTCAAACTTTGAGTGCTTCTCCATTCCATCTTGTCAATTAGATCTAGGAAGGTCAGCCCAGTCGTTTCTTAAGAGAGAGCCCAATCCACAGTCAGTGTCTGGGCTCCAGTTTTCAAGGTTATCCACCTGATCAAGTCTGTGATAACTCCAAGTCTGATGAAACAGGACAGGCCTGTCTAGATACTCCTTTCTCAGGTAGGTAGAAAGACACACACTGACGTGGCTACTCTCAAGTAACATTAAGATAGTTTCAGGTTGAAATTTGGGATAAAACAGGCCAGTAGATGTAGACAAAAACCAAATTCCCTAAGCAAGTCACCCAAGTTACTCCTCAAAGTGTTCAATACAGTGTGTCACCATCCTTCCAGTTTGCAGTATGTGTTGAAGGGGCTCATTTACCAGCTAGTCTCTTCCTGAGGCTGCAGTGGGGGTTGTGCTGTCTAGGTTTCTGTATTGAAGTTCAGATGGAGTCACTTATGCCCTTGGGATGACTCTGTAGTTTGTCAGTGTCAGTATTAGATGTGGACAGTATTCTGAGGTAGTCACTACATCAACCAGGGTGGCCAGTGTGACCCCAAGTGGAGCAGTAGCATCTATACTACACACACTTGTTTCTTGAAGGGTAGTCCTGCTCATGCACTTCCCCTCATCAGCATCCCTGACAGAGGGACCTATCTTCTGGGACCTGGTGTCAGGTGGGGTCTAGAAGCCTGTTGCTGCTTTCCAGTGGCTGGGTGTGCAGTGGGGCTGTTGGTACTGCTGAAAAGCACCATCTGACTGCTGCTTTTCTCCAGGGGGTGGATCCTAGGGACATCCCACACTGGCAGAACAGGTGCCCCACCTCTTTATTTGCCTAATTTCCAGTCTCTCGATTATGTGGCTCTTTGCAAAAGTCTTAACTCTGATGTCAATTTCTAAAGCCAACTCCAAAATGAGATGGGGTTGGCCTAGGTGTTTTGTACAAGGTTCTGGACTTCCTCATTGAGTGCCTCCCATCAGTGTGCACTTCCTGTGCACAACCTGTCCCTTCAGCCGCACTGTGCATGTCCAGAGTTACAGGCCTAGATGACTGAATGAATGTACATGTGTTCATATTATCTTTGTACAGTGTATATAATGTGTGTATATAGATGTACATTATGTATACAGACATGTAGCCACGTATCCAAACTTCTATGTTGTCAAGAGTTGATGCCAGCGTTGCTAATGTGAATGGATGTGGATATTGCAAGGTTTCCTTGACAGGGATGTACTGGTGAATTTCTTACCAACTTCATTTTCCTGGGACAAGGAGCTGCTGGAAAGGGCCAGGTATCACTCACTCCTGCACAAGGAAGCCTCAAGCCAGAAAGGTCCTGACAGGAGGGCAGTTCTCTAGGTTTAGAAGGGCCCAGAAGCTAGTGGAAGAGATGTTAGCCTAATATCCAAAACTAAGTGGTAACTATAAACCTGCTTTTCACAAATCAGGTTAGCCTAACTGAAAGGAACTTAGTAGCTGAGAGAAGCACTTGGTGTCCAAGGGGCTGCAGCAGTCTCCCTTGTTTACCCTGTGCTCTGTCAGCAAGACTTGGGTACTGTCTGGTGGTAAAGATAACCAGTCTACCAAACATTCTTTAAAAACAATGGCTAAGTTGTGGCATACAAACCACAAATAGTAAATTGTCCTTTTAACTAAGAAGCAAGTCAGGGGTTATCCTGATTTAACTACATTCTATAAAAGTTTTAGTTAATAGTAAGAAAGCTAAGGCTGGCATATTTTCCTCATCTACCACGTCTATTCTGATGAAATTTGTCTCCTATGATTGGGATTTTAGGTTGAGATGGGACTTGGGAGCCAGGGCCCAGCCTGGCAGAGCTGCTAGTGGCCATGGTGTGCAAGCGCCTGGCTTGGAGGAAGCCAAGTGCAAAGATCTTGCCTGACCCACGGGTTGTTGTTGCTCTTTGTGTTTGAAGTAATGGTTAAGACTGTAGTCCTCAGTGCCTTTGGTGAGACATGGGTCATTTGGCTTCAGCTTCCCACTTGTATCCCTGGCCTCACCCCTCGTGGTTGTTCAATCTTGCCTGTGTCATTGCCTGTTGTGACAATCACACTATTCAAAGTGGCTTTCCAAGTAAAACACAGGGAAGCTTGGCGGTCTCTAAATGAATCCTTCCGTTTTCTTTGGGGGCTATTGTCTTGGCAGCAACCTAAGAGAGTTTAAAAGTGGCTTAGGAAGGAGAACATCAGACATTTCTAATGCTCAGCAATACGCACTTTCAGTTAATTTTGGTATTTATAAATGGAATGTAGGGCAAATTCTCAACATTATATCACTGTTAAGTTTTAGTGTTTGGGTAACATTTGGTATAGACTGCACATTAAAAACGGCCTTTCTTCGGGAAAGTACCATCATCAGTTGTCATCCCAACAGCCTGCTCGTTCACGGATGCCAATGCACACACAACTCAAAGTGCTGGGATATTTTTCTAGTCTGTTTTCCCAATTAACTTGTAAATCAGTGTTCAACTAGTTTTATAACTGAAAAGCTGCACATTTTTCATAGTACCAACTAGTTTGTACCTGTAGTTTGGATTTCTCTGTTAAGATACAGCGCATTATCTGCCTCCCCCTCCTCCCCTTTTTAAAGGAAAGTCCAGAAGTGGAATTTTCTTGGGACCGGTTGTATAACTTTTGCCCTTCACACTATAGAAAACACCATGGATGCCATTACCTTTTGATTCCAGGTTTAAAACCTGCGGAGAGCTGCCATTTTGTACAGCTTTTCTCCCTGTGTAAATGAGCTATGTGATGGCATTTAAAACCCGCATGTTCTTTTTAAATTGAATTTTCTATCTAATCAATGTCTTCAGTCCTGAAGGAGAATCTGCATCGTTGTGTCTGTGTAGAGAGTTGCTGTGCATGGTTATGAGCGCCTTTTACTAAATGCTGTTCAATGTGGCTTTGTTGTTGTGGCTTAATACTACCTACATGAGGTTTATACTATTAAAGTAAATTAAAGACTAGCATGTGTACTGCTCATCATTTTTTTCCTCAAAACAGTAATGTGTAGCCTGAGCCCATTCCCTGCCTTTCATCAACACCTTAACCTTGGCCAAGGTGATCTCCATCAGTTGGAATGAACTGTGGTGGAAAAACTCAGACTAAACTCTCCATGGCCATCCAGCATGGAGGTAAGGACCCTACATAGCCATTTCCAGACCATGGTGGGCCTTACATATAGGTGTGCAGTCAGGTGTCAGACCCACATACTAGGTATTTGCTGTGGAGTAAAAAATGTATCCTCAGATTCAGTAGTTGAATGAACTGCTCTTAGGTCTTCTGGCCTTTACAATTGAGGGTTCAGAGGCCCGAATCAGATCCTGACAGAGCTCACAACTGCCAGTGACACCTCAGTATGAAAACTATCACTTCAGAGGACCATCATGTCAACTCAAGTCCTTGTGTGGTCAGTTAAGTTTCATGTGTGTGTAAAAAACTGTCATTCCTATATAGGGAAAAAACAGATTTAAAGAGATGATTTTTTTCTCAGTGCCATTGGTTTCATCACAGAAGTCCAGGCCATCAGTAACTGTGGTTCTGTAGAAGTTAGCAGCTGCCCATATGTTCCTGTAGCCTTGCCACAACTTTGGCAGGTGCCAAGGTCAGGACTAAAATCAAGCACTCCTGTCCCTTATATATTAGAGCCACAAGCACCTGTTCACTGCAGCCCCTTCAAGCCACCTGAACACACAGGTCTGCCGCAAAATCACAAACCAGAGCAGAGGGCGGAAAGGCACGATTCTGTAAATCTAAGCATGCCAGCCTCAGAAGCTGAGCTGAGTGAGGACCTGGAGAGTGGGAGCGACCTGGGTCTGAGTAGAGAAGGGCAATGGCCCTGCTCTGTTGTGTCTGAAGGGCCTTGGCCATTTTTAAACAACCACTGCTGTGCTTTGCCCCATAAATTCATACCTATATGTCGAAATGCCAAGGGGTCTGTGGTAAACATTAAGATGACCCTGGAAAGGCTCTGTTGCCCACTGAAGGATGGAGCTAGCATAGCTAAAATGGCAATGACAGCTGGGGAAAATAACTAGGAAGGTACTTAGTAAGAAGTCACACACATACTTTTTCAATCTAGTAAGCAAGGGTTGAGAATCAAATCAGCTGGGCTCCACAAGTTACCACCTAGGTGGCAAGGTGGCATCTTCACTCTCAAGGCCAGAAAGATCCCTGCTACAGCCAACAGAGCATCACTGGCACCCCTCCACCCACAGATGTGGACTCCCTAGGAAGCAAGGATTACTGGGCCTTCCAAAAGAACCTACATGGAAGAACACCCACTCTGCCAGCTCCAGGCTAACCAGATAAAGTAGCCCTCAAGAGCTTCCAGAGTGGGGACTGGAGGAAGAGACTAAATGCAAGAACCATAGGACTGTTATTGACAAACTGCCTTGTACCCTCAGCCCAAAGCTTTTTGCTACAGATGGTTTTTGTAACAGCAGGACCAGGCTTACCATGTAAAGGAAGACTAAATCTTTTATTGACATCTGTTTAGCAGCTGACAACTCTGGCCTTCTCCCCATGTCCTTTAAATGGGTGTGCAAACAGGCTTTTCCATTTCAGAGAGTTCCATCAGTCCATCCCAAATGACCTTGCTCAGACCTAAGTGCTGGCTTTCAGAGCAGCTTTGTACTTCCCTGTCATCTCCTTGGGTAAGGGCACCAGGCCAGGGCAGGGCACCTGACCTTCCACTTCACACATGCACTCCCGCAAGCAGTACTTCCGGGGGCCAAAGTTGGCTGGATGAGATTGACGCTGCTTCTCCAGTTCCTCCTCCCTGAGGGTCTCCCTGCCAAGGAACACACACAGTAGCAAAGCATTACCAGACAACAGGCAGCCTCTTCCATGTGAGAGGAAAGGCAGTGGGAAGCATCCCACAGGGGCAGGGCAAAGGAGCCTGGGTCTTCAGAGACTTTCTTGGTTTCACTTTCTTCCTGTCCTTCCTCATTCAAGGAGCAAAAAAGAAATTTGGGGACAGGATCTTAGCTTCCTTTTAGCTGCATGCATATCAGGTCAGGGACCACCTTTGTCCACTATCACAGCAAGGGAGTGAACAAAAGATTCAGTGACTTCAGCTTACATCTGCTAAGCAGAAAGACCAGGCCTGAACTGATTCTGCCACCCAAGGTGTTGTAGTAACTGGGACTAGATGAACCTTCCCTCTCCACACCCTCCCTGTACATCCCCTTCACCCTCACATTATTGGGGTCAAGGTTTGTTCCTGTCAGGTCAACCCAGTAACTCACTCTTTCTTGCCCAAAATTTTCTTTATGTGCTCCATGATCTCTTTATTACTCTTGGTCTCCACGTCTACCAGCACTTGCTCCCCAGAATCTGTAAACAAGAGGCACAAGGGGAGGAGAGCTGACTCAGGCATACTTCTCAGTCTCAACAGGCTGGCCCTGCCAGGTGTGACAAACCTGTACCCTCATCAGGTAGGATGATTAGCAAATCAAGACCAGCTTGATCTCCAGTCTGTTTTTTGCAGTAGAATTCAATTTTTTTATTTAAATTATGTATGTATGTATGTGCATCCGTACATGAAAGTACAAGTACCAGAGGAGTCCAGAAGAGAGTGTCAGACCCCCAAGAGCTGGAGTTCTAGGCAACTGTGAGTCATCTGACTCAGGTCCTCTGGAAGAGCACCTTAATTGCTCTTAATTGTCAGTGCTCTTACTTGCTGAGCCATCATTCCAGTTCAATAACTCCTGCATAACTGATGATACCCTCCCGCTTTCCAGTTTTAAAAAACATGAACAGACCAATTCCTCTATAGATCACTGTAGCACTGTAGTCCCCCTAGTCCAGTTTTTGTTTGTTTCCAGACAGGGTTTCTCTATGTAGCCCTGGCTGTCCTAAAACTATGAAAACCAGGCTAGCCTCTAACTCAGACATCAGACTATCTCTACAATGCAGTTTTTATGGAAGCTTAACAAAATGAGTCTACAATTCATATGAAAATGAGAAACTACAATTCTGAAATGAAAGAAAAATGGGAAAGCTGGGGGTACAGCTCAAGGTAGATAAGGGGGTGTCTGCTTCCCAAGTGTTCTATAGCTAAAGGTACTGTAACCAAGACAGAGACATGCCCAACCACACATGCCACTTTCCCTGCCGCTATCCTCAAATCTTTTTCAAGGTCTCAGTGCTTTAAACCTCATGCAGAGCTCATCAATAGCTGACTGGATGAGTTGAGACTGACATCATGGAAAATACGCCACCACAACAAATCAGAAGCTAGGGTCCTCCAGGCTGGAAGTCCTAGCACTAAGGAAGCTGAAGCAGGAGCCCAGGAGTTTGATGTCAGCCTGGCAATATGACAAGACCCTGTCTCTGAAAGGATAAAATGGATGGGATGTGGCTGCGTGGTAGAGCACATGCTTAGCACTTAAAAGACCCTGGGTTCTACCCTAAGATGATTATCAAAAGCAACATATGCAAAAGGTGCAAAAGAAAATGTACCAGGCTCCTCCCAGCCCTCCTTGCATTGGGCTATGGTTCCTAGGGACGGAGAAAGAGCCCTGTGGTATAGTCAGCCTTTCCCACAGGGCACATGGCTGGCAAAGGGACTACCAGCATAAGCAGATGGCCTTGCTATGTCATGGGCAGAGTTTTGAGGGCAACTCCACATCCTAGTACAGCTCCTAGCCAGGGATGGGTTCTTTCTCCCACTGACACTACCATCCAGAAATGGAAAAGAATTTTTCCCAAGAGATTCTTGTCCACATGAGATTCAGAGGCAAACCAGGCAGGCTTATAGTGGACATATCTAACCCCAGCATTTGGAAGGCTCAGCCAGGACTGTCACAAGTTTGCTGGGCTACATAATCCTATCTCAAACAAAAAGTCCTAACCTACTGCCCCTGTACAAAGGGACATATTCTGGCTCTCATTATAGACCCGTCCTGTCATGCAGTGGCTTCATCACTTATCCAGGACTGGCTGTGACTCCAAGCTGCAACGCTTGCCCAGAAAGCACACTGAGGCCCTAAGAACACAAAATCCTGTGGCTGATTGCCTTCCTTCACCACAGGACTAGTCAACCATCTTGCTGGTTTCCTGTGTATTCTGTCTCCCCCATACACACAACACCTTCACACACAGGGCAAAGTTTTTTGCCCATGGACTCTGACTACCCTTCACCTGGCTCCAAGCTGCCCCTCAGCAACACTCCATATGTAAAGCACACACAGATGCATAATGGTCCTTGTTCCTGTGGTACTTTCTACTCATTATCCATGAACCAGGAATGGGCTGCTAGTGCCCAGCATCAGGACAAACAAGCAGGCCCCCACAAGACACCTGGTGGGACGAGAAAGGAGACTGTGGTCAGCACTGAGGGGTACTAAGGTGCCTGAGGGCCAAATCCAGGCTTAGAGAATATCTGGTTTTGATGTTCTGCAGTGTAGTGTACTCTACCACTGGAGCTATGGACATACATCCCCAGCCAAAGATATCTGCTTTCATTCTTTAAGCCGATGGACAGAGAATGAAGACACACCAGCACAGAGCAGCAAAGGACTGGGGGTAGATTGACCCACATGATAGGCAGAGAACAGGAGACAGATAAGCTGGAGAGAGACAGGTGAGGGAGCTGGGTCCAGATCTTAGCAGCTATTGGGTACCTGGAAAGGGAAGCCAAGGGCCATAGTGCTGTTTAGATAGCTCAACTGCTATCTTCACAGAGGACTGGAAAAGGAGAGGTGATCTTCCATGCCTCACTCACCTAGATAGAACCGCAGGAAGGGTGATGGCGTCATGTTCTTAAACAGCATGATCTGCACCCAAGGGTTCTTATACTGGATCTGAGGGATGTTGAAAAACACAAATTTCCTGCAAAAAGTAAGAAATGAACCCATGTAATAGCCTTCTAGAAATGAACCCATGTGCATCTCCATGTCTGGTGTCAGAGCACTCCAGATCTCCACTCCTTTCAGCTTTGTTGAAACTTCTTTCTCTTAGGCTGGTTCCACTCCCTGTTAGCAGCTTTCTTTGGGAGATATCCCACAACTCTGGCATCTCCAACATCTTGGGGTCTACAATGCAATCCAGGCTTCACATTCACAGCTTCATACAATGGGCTCTCAGGAACTCCATGTAGGAACTGCCCTGCCAAATGCCTGGCTTCAACAGTTTTCCTTAACCTTCCATAACTCCTTCCTGATTCCTTCTTGACTAAATCCAGAACTACATGGCCAAAGCTGTCAAGTTCTTCTTGCTTGGGCTGAAGCCTGGCCCCCTCTAAGACTTGCATTTGCATAAGCCTTGACTGGTTGATGGGTTTCTTTTTTAACCCCCTTTGGTTTTTTTGAGACAGGGTTTCTCTGTGTAATCCTGGCTGTCTTAGAACTCACTCTGTAGACCAGACTGGCCTTGAACTCAGAAATCCACCTGCCTCTGCCTCCAGAGTGCTGAGATTAAAGGTGTGCTCCACCATCACCCAGCTTGGTTGGTGGTTTCTACACAGAGAAATCCATCAGCTTTATTCTTTTCACAGGAATTGTTGCAGGATTAGCAGAGTGGTGTCTTGCTGTGAGGTCACCACTCCCTTAATTCCATTTAGCATCAGGCTTTTCTTTAAACTTTTTATTTCCTTGAGCACATCATTATATATCCTGGTGCTCTTCTCAAAGTGTGCATTTTATATTTTTCTTTGTTCTACTTGTTCCTTTTCATTGTAGATCTGCATAACCACTTGATACAGTCAATACTATGTCTTGAAATCTCCTCTGCCAACACCATCAATCCAAATCTCAAGTTAGCCTCTGGAAGATTTTTTGGACAAGGGCAAAAAGCAGCCACATTCTTTGTCAAAGTATCACAATGCTCAACTGCTATTTTCTCCTCTGAATCCTCTTGAGCTGGGCCCCCACAGTTCCTAGTGCCCTCATCACCACTTTCTTTCATGTTCCTGCTAGGATGGCTCAGTGAGCATCACTTCAAAGTGTGATCCAAAGTCCCAAAGTCTCCATATTCTTCCAACGAACACTATAGTCAGGCCTGTCATGGCAAAACCCTAGTCCTTGGTACCAACTTCTGTCTTAGTTACTGTTCTATTGATCTGAAGAGACACCATAACTAAGGGAACTTATATAAAAGAAAGCATTTAATTGGTGGCTTGTTTACAGTTCAGAGGGTTTAGTCCATTATCATCGTATCAGGGAGCACAGTGGCATGCAGACAGGCATAGTGCTGAAGAAGGAGCTGAGAGCTTACATCTGATCTGCAAGTTGCAGGCAAGAGGCATTGAGCCTGGCATGGGCGTTTGAAACCTCAAAGCCCACCCTCAGCAACACACTTCCTCCAACAAGGTCATTCCTACTTCAACCAGTCCACAGCTAATCCTAATCCTTCTCAAACAGTGCCACTCCTTGGTGACCAAGCATTCAAATATATGAGCCTATGGGGGGCATTCTCATTCAAACCACCACACATGAACCTATGTAAATCTATGTAAGAATTTTTTTCCCTGAAATTCTGTGTATACCTTTTCCATGAAGAAAGTCCAGGACTTGTCACAGATTGTAAGAGGGACCTGCCTCCAGAAAAGTGAGGAAAAACAGACAGAGGATTGGTGTGTCCCCAACACTTGCACTTCTGTAAGCATTAGGACTCATGATTAGTCACTAAGGAAAACAAACCAATGCTCCCTGCAGAGCATTCACAGAACTCCCCAGCACCAAGTCCAGAGTCCTGGGCACACAGGGCACACATCTCCATGTGTCCAGTGATCACATTACTGAGGAGACTCCTTAGAGAGAGCACTGTGTAGAAGGAATGACATGAGTATTACCGGAGTGTTTATAATGAAAGAAAACTTTGAATGGTAGAAGGCTGAAATGAGATAACTTTGCATACACTAAAAATATTTACATGGCAAAAAATGCCAAAAACAAATTCAACATCTACTGAATGACACACCTGTAATCCCAGCAGCACTCCAGTGCCTGAGGCAGGAGGATTGAGTCCAAGGCCAGCCTGGGCTACATAGGGCTCAAACAAAAAGAATTAACATTTTCCAAGCCATTAAAAAAAATCTGTTCAACATTAAGTAAAATAGCATTGTACACATCACCAGTAAAACTAACATAACTCTGGGCTATAGGAGAGGGTGTGTGTGAACTGCCTTAACCTGTCTGGCAGTCAGTTTATGACTAGAAGCTTTAAAGCATCCTGACTCTAACGTCATTCCCCTTGTAGATACCTCTGCATTTGAATGAACAAAATAGACCAGAAGGCAAAGATGCTGATGTTGAGGCTACAGAATTCAGATCAGCATGGTGCACCAGGAGAGAGCGGGCTAAAGAAACTACAGCAGGACTGCAGATGGCTCCACACCGCAGAGCACCTTCCCAGCATGCACAAGGCTCAGGATTCCATCCCAGAACAACAAAACGATAAAGCATTGTATCTGCTGTCCACAATACAGTAAAATCTAGGCCACCACTGGCTCTGCATACTGAGCCCTCACCACCCTCAGCTTGCCTACTATAAGGACTACTTGCTGTCGGCTTCTGGATTCCAAAGGCTGACAGGAAGTACCAGTGACAGGTAAAGGCAGCTACCTTTTTTTCCTGGCTCAGCCCTGGCATGACCAGCCTGAAGGCCCCTGTGGACAGACCCCTTGATCTTCAGGCTCCAACAGACATTCCATCCCTCACCTGTCCAGCCTATGCTAGGGTCTATGCTTTCCCTCAAGGTGTCTTTTCTCCATTTCTGCCCACAATTGAGGTTCCTCAAATGCCCTCACTCAAAGGCATCCCTGATTTCTGCTGTCTGTCCCACACCCACAGACAGGGCTCTGGAACCATGGAATAGAAGCTTGGCCTCAGACACACTGTCTAGCTATAGATCCTGGTTTTCTACTTCTAGTCACCTGACCCAGGGCATGGAACAATTCTTTGCCTCAGTGATTATGACCAAGAACCTCTTGGTCATCATGTCCCTACACCACCAATCCAGATTGAAGCATCTAAAAATGATGTCAGGGACAAAACTGACTCAACAGAAAGCCCACCTGGAACCACTTAAGACACTACGGCAACCGGGACAGAATCTGCAGTTAAATAAAGTGACAAAAATGAAACAGCTGTCAGTAAAGCAAAAGTACTTGTTAAAACCAGAAACTTAATCATAGTATTCTCTTTCACTCAGAGTCACAGGAACATCAATATTCTTCGTGTTTAAATTATCAGAGAATTCATGTTCTCTCTGAACTTCAGAAGTAACCTTCTAGGGAGGACAGGCTGAAAAGGATGCAGATGTGAGTGTGGGCAGTGGCAATGGCCATGAGAACCACACTCCTCTTCCAACAGGGCAAGTCTGCAAGCAATGTCTAACCTGAAAAATGAAACGGTGTGCTAGGGAGATGGTTTAATCAGTAAAGTGCTTGCTGCACAAGCAGGAAGACCAGGGTTTGAACCCCAGGACCTACTTAAAAACAAACAAACAAAAGCTAGGGGGCTATAGAGATGGCTATAGAGATGGTTAAGAGCACCTGTTGCTCTTTCAGAGGACCTGGGTTCACATGGTAGCTCACAACTGTCTGTAACTCCAGTTCTAGGAATCTGACTCCCTCTTCTGACTTTTGTGGGCACCAGAAATGCATGTGATACACATACATACATGGAGGTAAACACACACAAAGTTTTTTAAAAGCCAGTGAGGTGTGGTGGCATACCTTTAAACGCAGTAGTTAGGAAGCAGAGAGAGGCAAGAAGATCCCTCCTGAGTTGGAAGCTAGCCTGGTCTATGTAGGAGTTCCAAGCCAGCTAAGGACACACAGTGAGACTCTGTCTCAACTAAAATTTAAAGATTTTAATTGGGACTAGAGAAATGGCCCAGCAGTTAAGAGTGCTTACTGTTCTTCCAGAGGACCTGAGTTCAGTTCCCAATACCCATCCACATCAGGCACCTCACAACTGCCTATAACTCCAGTTCTAGGAGATCCAACACCCTCTGGCCTCTGCAGGCCAGACACCTGCACAAAAACCACACACACACACACACACACACACACACACAGTGTGAATAAACACACAGGCACATAGCACCGAGAGAGAGAGAGAGAGAGAGAGAGAGAGAGAGAGAGAGAGAGAGAGAGAGAGAGAGAGAGAGAGAGAGAGATAAGAATAAATCTAAAAAAGAAACTCCAGGTATGGTGGCACTTGTAATCTCAGCACTAGGAGGGAGGGATGGAGACAAGAAACTCTCCCGGTCTTGTTGATCAGCCTAGCTGAATCCATGAGGCCCAGGGAAGAGATCCTATTTCAAAAAGAAAGAAAAACAAGTTTGCCAGCTCCTTAGAAACACGACCTTTGATTGAATGCTGGTGTATGTATGTGCTCACCACACACACACACACACACACACACACACACACACACACACACGGAGCTCTTTGAGTAAGTAATTACATCAACACAAAACTTGAAAAGCTCCAAGTCCTGCTTCTGGAGAGGAAATTTAGCCCTCTATAGACTCCCAAAGCACACTACCCAAAAGCTCAAAGGCAGAAGGTACTCTCAGCAGGCCTCTGCTCCTTCCTGTCCCGAAGCAGAGTGATGTCCCAACGTCACAGAACCCTGTGCAAACAGACCAGAGCATAGCCAAATACTAGACCCAAACTGGCACCAAGAATCTTAGAATAGTCCTTATTGAGAACCAATGACCAAAGGTCAGCACCTATTGCACTCCGCCAGGTACTTTATTGTCTCCCACCACCCACTCCCACCCCCAGACACTGACTTTGTGGTGTTACAACTAAGAAAAATGCGGTCAGAAGTTGAGCGAACTACCACAAGGTCACACAACTAGTTAAGGGAGAGGCCTCAGCTGTTCTTGCTCTGGACTTCTACCACCCAGGCCTGTCACTCAAATGATCACGCTCTGCATCCTGAGAGCTTCGTCTTAAGAGTATGAATCCCTGACAAGAAAGCAGAGTTCGAACCCTCTGGTCCACCGGCACCCAGCCTTCCAAGCCCTCACCCCAACAGATCCCAGGCCAGCAGGTCCTAGCTCTTGGAGGTCACTTGACCAGAGAAAATGGCTAGGAGGCAGCTTCTGGCTCCCTTGAAGTCAAGGCCGGACCACTCTCCCACTCTCCGACCAGGAATTACTCGTTTCTCTCATTCTGATTCGCCCCACAAACCCATTCCTGTCTACAGTCATGGGTTGGTTTCTCCCGCACTGTTGGAACTCCCAGTACTGAACCTGGCGTTTGGGGTGCTCGATAAATGTTCAGTGAGTACTGAAGGGTCCAAGGCATTGCTCAAGGATGCTGACGGGTCAATGAAACCTTTCAATTACCAGTCCTAAGCTGCAGCGAGCCATGGTGTGCACAGGTGCGGAAACTTACCACTCCCCTCCCGACGCCAAAGTTTCCCCGCGCCACACAGCGGCTCGTGTTCTACGAGCTGCCAGCCCTGGGGCCGCAACCCACCCTCTTGGGTCACGGTGTGGCGCTCCGGTTTCTACCGGGATCTGTCGGGATGGCCTCCACCGCGTCAACTTCTCACGGAACCCCGCGGGGTGTGACCCACACTGACCTGGCGCCTTCGCCCAGCTCCCCCTGCGTGTTGTAGTTCACGGTCATGACCTTCACCGACTCCTTGAACACCACATCCCCGCGGCCCAGGTACTGCAGCGTGCGGCGGATAGGGAAGCGGCCCTTCATCGGCATGGTGGCGACAGCAGCGTCTCAAGCCGCGGACCCGCGCGTCTCTCCGACGCGCGGAATCTCGGGAGGCACCTCCCGGCGGGCCGTGCAGTCGCGGGGCAGCCTGGGACTCGTAGTCTCGGCCCGGGGTCGCAACGGCTCCGGCGCTGGACGTACATTGATCGTTTTGCCCTTCTAGAAACCAAGGGTCCTCTCCCCAGACCTCCAGTTCTGAAATGAAGATCTCGACTGAGAAGTCGCTATTGAGTCAATAGAAAACTGATTTGCAAAGGAGGAAAGAACGTGGCTTGCTCTGGAGCGTCCGGTCGGCTCTGAAGAACTCTGCTCAGGGGAAGGGTCTATCTCATGTGCAGGTGAGGAGTCTTTGCAGATACTGCGCTTTCGGACGGTGAATCAACAACCAATATGTCACTCCGCGCTGTAATTTTTTTAAGATTTATTTTTATCTTAGCGTCTTTGCCTGTGTGTTTTGTATGTGTTCTTACCTCTGCGCACATTACCCAACTGCTCTGGGGGCGTCCAGTGCACACATATGGAGGCTGGGGAAAGACAGGTGTCCAGTTCTATTTCTGCCTGTTTCCTTGAGACAAGGTCTTTCACTGATTCTGGAGCTAGGTTGCTAGGTTGGTGACCAGAAGCTCCAGCAACTGGGATTGTAACCGACTTTTCTGGGGTTACAAGCACAAATGACCTCACCTAGATTTTTACATGGGTGCTAGAATCCAAACTCAGGCCCTCATATTTGTGTTAGCAAGCATTCTTACCCACTGAGTCATCTCCCTGGCTCCTGTTTTTTTGTTTGTTTGTTTTAGATTCATTTACTTTGAGTGTTTTGCCTGCGTGTGTAGGTGCATCACTAATGAGCTTCAGCCAGGACTACATAGTGAGGTCCTGTCTGAAAAGAGGGGAAAGGTAAATTTGTTGAGCATACTGCAAGAGTGCAGCAGGCACAAAGAACCACCTTCCATCCAAAGGTTCTTACATGCTGTTCGCTTGTTTTAGTCTCTGTAATGCACAACTTGCAGTCAATTTCCTGCCTGCTAATTCCAATGTCAGTGTAGTTGTGTTGCTTGCTCACCGTTTAGAATGCTTGTAGCCGTTGGTGAGACATGGCTCTGTGGGGAGTGGAAACTAAGATCTAAGTCTCTAGTGTGAAGACTTTGCTGTAGCTAGTGTCCAGAGCTTGGAATTCCTGGCTGCTCTTCCGCAGGCTCTTGCTGCTGTGATCCTCTTACTACCCACCCTGGATCCCTGGGGGGAATATGAGGAACAGATGGACATGTTCTATGATCTTAGAATTAACTCTCAGGCCATAGCTTTCACACATTTCTTAATTCCCTACTTCTCCCTCAGACAAAGAAGGCTGCACGGGACTGTGGTGGGAGCATTATGTTTGCCCCAAATGAGCAAGTTTGGTGAAGTTTCTCCATCTGCAGAAGCCATTGCTAGGATGCTCTCGTTACAAAGAACTTTTCCTTCCTCTGCCATAGCCATAGAAGGAGCGTTCTCAGTGTTTCACCATTAGAGCCAACAGGAGCAGCCTTTTCAGGAAGCCAGGCCTCACTGCCTGGTGGACAGTCAGACTCCAGGACTCGACAATGCTATCTGCCAGGTTTGGTCATGCAGACCTGTGATTCTGAGACAGAGGATCATAAGTTCAAGGCCTGCATGGGCTGCAAAGTGAATTCAAAGCCAGCTCAGGGAACACAGTAAGACCCTGCCTGAAAAAATAGAGCTAGGAATATAGCCCAGTAGTAGAGCACATGCCTGTATGTGCAAGGCCCTATCCTCAATCACAGCCCTGCAACAACAAACCAAACTACTGCTGCTACTCCGACCAGACATGGCTTCTGCTGCAGCCATGAGCTCTTGGCTGACTCTGGACTCACCACTCCAGATGTTGGGGGGAAATTAAGCCCTGCAAATCAGTCTTCTTATGGTTCCAAGGAAGGTTACTGGTTTTCATTCTGTCCAGCTGCTGCTTCTAAGAAGAGTGACAACTTCCAAAAGACATTTCAGCTAAAATCAGAAATGCTGACCTAAAATTCTGAAGTGATTAAAATTCTGCTAGGCTCCTGAGGAGGCTGCAGGTCTTGAAGTCCAGTCATAGATGACACTGCATCCACAGGAAACCCAGTGTCCCACACAAACAGCTTGGGGTCCTGAATCAGACAGGCCTGGGCAGGGTCCCAGAGAGATGACTCTGAGCAATTCAGTGTTACCATTTCCTTTTGTTAGCTGGGAAGAGTCAGTGAGGTGACTCCCAATCATACTGAGCTCTGGCCCACCGTTGAGTACTGGATACAAAGCCCCTCCTCAGGCCCCAGGCCCAGGTGAAGTCTCTGTAGAACCCACTTAGATGTACCCAACTTCTTTCTAGATTGCTCATCTGCTCTCTTTTTGGTCGGCACAGTAGCAGAGCCCTCCTCCACTATTCCTGAGCCAACCTAACCCTGCCCTGGTACTGACGGCAAAGTGAGTCATGAGTTTTCACCCTGTCCTTTGTCAAGTAACACATCTGCTGGCAGAGCTGGGGTAAGTGTGAAATGTGGAAGTCCCAGGCTCCTCACCTCTCTGAGCCTCAGTTTCTGGTGGAAGTGGGGCTAGGACTGCAAAGCATCCTTAGTATGTTAGAAGGGGACACAGACAAGGCTTCTAAGAGAAAGGCCAGCTTCACACGATTGCCAGAAACCCTCAGTTTCTGTGGGAAACAGGGATGACAGGACTGGACAGGGGTCTGGGCTCTGTTTGTGTAAAACAGCTCCTTTAGTGCTCACTTTGCAACACAAGGAGCTGAGTTTGATCCTCAGAATCCATAAATGTGTTGAGCATGGTGATATGCATTTGTAATCCCAGGATTGAGGAGGGGAAGATGAGGACCCCTAGGACGTGCTGACCAGCCAGTCTAGCCTAAATGGAGAGCTTTAGGATGAGAAATTCTGCCTAAAAGAAGGTGGATAGCTTTCCTAAGACTAAGACCCAAGGTTGTCCTCGGGCCTCTGTGTACACAAGCGAACACTTGCGTGTGAGCAAACTACAAAAGGGGGGTGGAGAGATGTTTTAAGCACACACACACAGCCACAAATATGTTATTTTTTTAATAAAAGACCCACATACATGTTATTTTATTTTTTTTAGTAAAAGCCTCTGATACAAGGCCCCAGTGTAGTGCATGCGTATCAATGACCATCAAGGTTAACAGTCACCATGATTACCAACACACCGTGCTATAGTCTGACCTAGTACAGAGACCAACTCCTCAATCTGAATGGAATGGCCTATGGCTTATGCCGCCTGGCTCATGATGACTTAGGACATTTCAGCATCTGACAACGAACACATGATGAGTGCTAAGTGTGGTGAGTGAGTGAGGCTCTAGGTCCTTAGTGTGTTAGAAGCGGACAAAACCAGAAGCCCTTCCACAGATGAACATGACCTCTATCTAGATCTGCCAACTCTCTATCAAGCACGTGCTCCTTTACTGATCAGGTGAAGCACCTCTGGAATCATGAAGTGTTCACACGAGATACACTGTGTAGTTATACTCCCAGGCCAACTCCCTCTGCAAACCAACCTTGACCTACATAAATTCTGGGAAGTGATACAGTCAAAGGGTAGACAAGTCTCCCCTGTCATGTCTGACTTACAGAGTATGGCCAAAGAGGAATTCAATGAGAAAGTCAGTGAAACCTCTAGAATCTGAGTTTACTTGGTTTAATATTCAATGAATTGATATTTAAAAAATAGTTGTTAAAAGCATTTGTTTTCTCCATGCTCTCAGTCACAGACTGCTGCCTGAAGGTGAGTTCAGGAAAAGAGGACATTTAGTCACCAGCTAATTAAGAAACCCTGTCTCATAAGAAAAGCAATGTCTACAGCCATACTGCCCTGAACACCTGATCTATGTCAGGAAGTGGTGGTGGGAACCAGTGTTCAGTTCCATTCTGTGTAGAGAGCTGCCTCCTCTTCGGTCAGACAAAAGGCAGTCCAAGCAGGGTGGATATGCTGGGTATGCCTGGACCCTAGGGCAACAAGCATCTAGAGCCCGGGCCTTAGGAAGAGAAGACGCCTGCCCTAGGAAACATGGATGCCAGGTTGCCCACCTCCCAGGACAGCCCATGGCACCAACAGAGCTGGCCACTGACTGGCACTGGTAATGCACTAATTGGTCAGTAAACATCTGCTGACAGAACCCAAAGGGTCCCCCATTACTCTTCTTCTCCAACTCTTCCCACAGCCCCAAGCAGGACTACCTACCCAGTCAAAGCCCCAACAAGTACTAATGAACAGCTGCCAAAACAGAGATCTTTGCACCCAGATGCCATTCTTACCACCAAGATGGATCTTCACCAGAATGTGACAAAAGAATTTCAGCTCATACACCAATAACCAACAGAAGCCATGGCTCAGGGGTAAAGTGACTAGTTATTGCCCATTAACTAAAGAGCATCATTGCAGAGATTATGCAGAGCTGAGCACACCAGGATCTTACAATGTCATCTGTCAACCCATCTGTTCCTGTAAACCAAAGCACTATGCTACATAACTTCCCTTTCTGTCCCTATCAGAGTTCAAGTACTTCAGGACTGTGGAATGATCTGAGGCTGTGCATAAAATATTCCTGTTTCTCAGTACTCAAAGTAGTGAGAAAACATCTCACCAGTTTCCCAGGTCAGGATGAACCACAGTGAAGAAGGCTGACTAGAGAGCCTTGGAAGTTACTAGAATGTATCTCCCGACTCAGAAGTGTTCCATCTCCTGCCAATACTCCACAGACGCTTCCTGGTCAGATTCCCAAACCACATACAGGCCCTTCAGTGTGACCTGGAGAGTAATCATTCTGCCAAAGCCCTGGAAGGCTTCCAGGGACAGACAACTGCCCAGGTAGAGACGTCTCCAAACCACAACATCAACCAAAAAGCTGGTCACTCCTATCTCGTAATCAAGCTCACACTGACTCCCCTGCACTTGGAAACTACTTCCTTTAACTGAGAAGGGACAACACTGGCAACATCCCCACCATCAATAAAGAGGCACTGGTCCTCCTGGGTCCAGACTTCCCTTCACAGCAGCATCTCCCTAAGTGTCCAGGAGACAGCCTAAGCAAGGGAGGTGGTGAAGAGCAGTCAAATCGGGACTTCTGCCAGAGCCCCTACAGGGAGGGGGCCTGTCAAGGGCTGATCTATAATACTGCATCATGACCAAGAACAGTCAGCAGGAATGGACCGAGAGGTACCCAGGAGCCATTTGCCTCGGCCCAACAGAGTTGCACTGAACTGTATCTCAGAAATAAAATGGTAAAGTCCCCTGAAAAGGGAACACTTCATTAAAAAAATAATAATACAGAAAAACCAGCAAATGAATGCCGATTTGTTTTCTGTTCTTGTTCTACTGTAGTGGAAACGACTCTAAGAGCACAGCAAGAGACTACTGTTCCCACCCCTCAGCCTTGTGCATCCAGATGCCCACCCATCTCCTCCTCCCCCTTGGTACCCTGCTTCCCACTGCTGTCAGTTAGGGCCCCCCTTCTGCTTAGCCAGGGTACACTTCAGCTCCCGAAGGTTCTCTGTCAGCACTTCAACCTCGTCCATTCGACCACACTGCTTGGCATCAAAGATGTAAGCCTTGATGTTGTCGATCTGCTGCAGGAGCAGCTCCTCCTCAATGTGCTCCTCAGCCTCTGTGCCACTGTCACTGTCCACCTCGAAGGGGTTGGTGCAGGGGCATTCCTCAAAAGGGTTTCCAGGGGCAGGTGGGCTGGCAGGCCTGGGATGGTCATCCTCATCAAAGGGGTTGGGTGCTGCACTGTTTGAGTCAATGAAGGGATTCCCTACCCCCAGCTCTGCCACCTCCTCTTCCTCAGCATCTTCCTCAAAAGGATTGTATTCTCTGGTGACAGCAGCTGAAGGGCCCGGGAAAGCCTCTGCAGCAGCAGGGCTGGCAGCACCCTCTGTAGGGCTGGAAAGATCTTCATCAAACGGGTTGAGAGAGGTCTTATCACTCTGTTGGGATTCGGTGCTCTGGAGGAGTAGTTCCTGACCAAGGGCTGGGGGTCCAGACCACAAGTGGACGGGTGCTTGAGCTGAGCCAGGTGAAAGGGTGTCTGGAGCAGCGCTGCCAAGAACTGGGGAGGAATCCAGACCCAAGGCATAGGCCAGATCGCTGTGAGGCCCACGGCTGGGCTCCAACTGGAAGGGTATGACTTCGCGGAGGTCTAGCGCACGAGTCCGTGTGTGCAGGGATGCCGCCAGGAACTGCTCCTGTTCTCGCTCCAGCTCTCTTCTCCGAAGCATCTGCAGCTGCTCCCGCTGCAGCTCCTCCTCCTCAGCCTGCCTCCGGGACAGCTCAATGGCCTTCTCCGTCTGCTGCTGGTCATACTCATCCTGTAGCTGCCGCAGGTTCTCCTGCAGTGTGCGCACCTCATCCGTGCGGCCTGCGGCCTTGGCCTGCCTGATGAAGGACGTAATGTTGTAGATCTGCTGGAGGAGAGGGTCAGGGTCTTCACTCTGTCCCTGACCTTCTGACAGTGGGAGCCAGCCCTCAGCTTTTCGCAAGGGGGCAGGGATGCCTCGGAGAGACCTCACTTCCCCATTGGCTGCAGGAGATGCCAAACCACTCTGCCTTTCCTCCAGCTTCCGCCGGGACTCCAGAGCAGCCTGCAGAGACAGCACACACCACCAGCGTCACCATGGTCACCAAGCCAGCAGTCCTCCCTGTCTGCCACCCTCCATGGGTGGCATGGTCCCCACAACACTAGGATTTTCAAAAATAAAACATAAGTTGAGAAGATTTCCTCCAGCTTAGTTTCACTGGCTGTACACTTTTCTTAAACTTTCAAAGACTGCCACTCTTATCTACATTAGGTTAGCATTTCAGATGATGCTAAAGTACACTTTGTTTTCATTTTGTTTTTCTGTGGTGCTGGTGATAGAACCCAGGGCCTCGAGCATGCTAAGCAAGCATTCTATCATCAAACTGTGAAGCAGCACCCTCATTTTCTTGTAAACGACACAGCCTCACTATGTAGCCCTGGCTGGTCTGGAACTCAAAATTCTCTTGTCTCAGCCTCTTGAGGGCTGGGATCCAGGCATGTACCACCACACCTGCTGTTTTCTGTTAAACAGTGCACATTCCAAGGTCTTCTGGAACTTGCCTGCAAGCCTACCAGAGGGAAAATTGCCAACCTTTGTGGTGGTCTAGGCAGGAGAGCACCAGCAGGAAAAACAGCTATTTTTCTAAGGCCATAACAGAAGCCAGCTTGAGAAGGAGACTCAGCAGTAGAGGGGTGGGATATGAGAGCAGGGAGGCAACAGCTACTGGACACCTGGGCGCCATGCACCTGTCTCTCCATGGTCCTCTTCTGTTCCAGGTCCTGCTTCCTTTTCTTTTTCAGTTCTTCAAACTGTTCTTTGGTTGGCAGTGACATCAACCCCAGTAACTTTTCCTGTGGGAGAGTAATAGACAATTTTACACTTAAGTGTTTTTTTTGGGGGGGGGGTAGGTGGGTGGGCCGGACCTTACGCCTTATACACTTGAGCTTAAGCTAAGGCACTCCATCCATTGACAGGAAGGACATTCATGCTAACTGGCAGTCACCTTTCAGATGGAGCTGCCTTTTCCTTATGAGCCGATTACATCAGATCTCCAGGTATCCCCGGGACTGTGACAGCTTTTCCCGAGGCTGTGCTTCGACCCCACCTTCCCACATCCACCTAGACTCCAGCACTGCCTGCCACCATTGTGCTTATTTACCACCCTCAGACCACTCCCTAGTACTTCATACTCTCTACCACACCACATGCTTTAGTAATTTGTTGTTGATCCCTTGCTATGTAACCACATTCTACCAATGGAAATATTCCCTTCTGGAGGCCTAAAGTCATGACACTTCAAGAAGCTGACCACAGGCTCAGCAAACCCATGAAACTTCTAGGACTCCTGGCCTTCCTCAGACGATCTGAGCAGGAAACAACTGCCAGGGAGAGGAGTCTTCACAGAGCTACTTCACTCAAGTCATCCAGGGACTCCAACAATGCGGGGGACATCAGAGGTAGGAAAATGCAACTCAGATCTAGTCACCTAGCTTGAGTCTGCTCTTGAACCATTAGCCAATGGCCCAGAAAGAGTCCCCTACCACTAACAGCAAAAACTTGACTCCACCAACTCCCCAACTGAAATGAACTGGTTCAACAGAGGAGAGCAGACAGGGCCCAAGTAGCATTCCGTGGGCAATCAAGCATAGAAGATCCAGTGGTTAAAACGATACAGATTTGCAGGTATGTAAGCAAGGCTTGATCTTCCTTGTCCACTTGAGTGGGGTTGGAATTGAAACACACTTCTGTGTGTGTCCATAAAGTTTTTCCAAAAAAGTTTGAGGTGGGAAGACCCACTCTGGTGTGGGTGGCACTGTTCTATGAGCTGGGCTCCCAGAGTGAATAAAAAGGAGAGCACCAGCGTTCATCTGTCTGTTTCCTGACTCAGATACGTGACCTGTTGCCTCAAGCTCCTGCCGCCATGACAGATTCAAACTGTCACCCAAATAAAGTCGTCCTTAAGTTTAAAGTATTTTATCACAGCAGTCAGAAAACTAATGCAATGAACTAATTAAAAATGGTAAACATAAAAATGTAAATGGAGAAAAAGAATTAAGAGAGAAAATATACCAGAATGAAGAACAATTGTATTGGGGATGTAGGATTAAAAGCTATTTTAAACACAAGATTGGGGCTGCAGAGATGGCTCAGGAGTGAAGAGGACCTGAATTCGGTTCCCAGCTCCAACATCAGGCAGTTCACAACTGCCTGTAACTCCAGATCCAGGGCATCCAATGCCCTCCCTGGACTCTGCAGCACTTGCACGGCATGTACACGTGCATCAACCTACATGTAGATAGACATAGACACAATCTAAAAAGAAAATCTAAAAACACTAGATCTACATACATACACACACACTAAATTAAAAAAACATACATACGAACATAAATACATACATAGAATAAAAGGCATGAAGCAGGAGGGAGACTAGCTGGGACGAAGTTGTCAGCAGGAATGGAGGGGGATAAGAGTGAATAATGAGGGTGATATGACCACAATAACTATGCATGTATGAAGTTGTCAAAATGTTTAATAATTTTTAAAACATATCTTTACTTTTTACCTAGGTTTCAGCTTTTTCTCCAAATGTAGCATTCATAATTTTAAGAAATAATAAATGTACCAACAGAAAACAAGCAAGCCACACACTTATGTCACCCTAGCATGGCTTTACCTGCACAAATAGTGTAGCTGAATATCTGATCATTCTCTGTAGCCGCAAAGTGTTTGGATGTGGTGAAGGGTCCTGGTTCAAGCCCAAGGTTAAGATCTTCTTGCTATATTGGAACAAAGGCACCAATGTAATGGGTGCTGCCAGCCTCGGAAACACGGTGAAGTCTCTAGAGCTGCCAGGCTCTGGTACCAGGAGGATGTGGAACACTGAAGAAACTGAAGTGTCCCACATAGCAAGGCCCATTCTTTACCCTCTGGCTCCTCTACCACTGCACAGATGAATGTGTGGCCACAGAAGCAGTAACATAGGAAAGCCTGGTTTCACAGGTGAACACAGGGTGTGGCAACTAACAACCCATACTTTTATGTCTTGCTATCACTGCCTTAAAATATTCGAGAGTGCAGACACCCAAAGAACCTGGGTTCCTGAGCTCCTCTCCTATGAAATGGAGATGCTAACCCTGTCCTGTTCCATGAGGACAGGCACACAGGTAGTACAGCAGCTCTTATTTATTACTAATGAACATCAGAAATCTCTCTCTGACCCCTGCACGCTGGGGATGGAACCCAGGACATTGTACATGCTAGAAGAGTACTCTATGACTGACCTGCACCCCACCCGTAAGCACAGAAGTTACAGAGCTATAGTAGATAGCAAAGCAGGCACCTTTCCTCCTCCACTGTTCTGTCACTAGGAATCTAGATTAGCCCAAAGCTGCTGCCCACCACTCACCGTTTTATCAAAACACCATCTTCTTCCCATTAACCAGCAGCAGAAACATGATCTAGCAAACTCACCTTAAAGCATCTATTAGCTCGTACACTTTCTGCACTTCCACTCGAAGGTCATTGGCATGCTCCAGACTGTAGGTCGTTTCCCCAGCACTAAGGAGAAATCATAAAGGTTTGACCTAAGTTTCATGGTGCTAACTGGAGAGCACAGTGCTTACATCCTCAGACACAGATGGTTAATCCTAAGGTTTTTAGACTCATGGAGACAATGCATCAATTCCTCGGGATGCAGTAATCAAGCAGAAGCCATTTTTTTTTTAAGATTTATTTTACTATTTTTACTTATGTGT